AAGTACGAGGTCTGCATCCGGCCCTTCTTCAACTCTTGTGACTCCTACAGGGACGGCAAGGTCTCCACTGCCGAGTGGTGTCTCTGCTTCTGGAGAGAGAGTGAGTATAGGATGTGAGGTTTGTTGGCTGTGTGTGCGTCCACAGGCATTCTCACGTGTGTGCTCTTATATTCCCCTTGGCGCATGCATTCAAACTTCAAGGCGCACAGCTGCCCTCAGGTGTAGCCGCCTCTGTGTTGTGCGCTGGTCCGTCACTATTTGTCTCCCGACTCATCTTCCTGTTCCCCTATGGAGTGAAACGGTCACCGCAAGGAGCTAAAAACATTCCTGCTGTTTGTTGACAGCCTAGTTCTCCCACAGCTCTCAGAGATTGCACCTGTCAGCAAACCAGCCAAGCAGAATTTAGGTCTCGGGCCCAAGCTCATAGTTCTTAGTTTGGTAAGAAATACATGGGAATTGGTTTTAAAATGGCAGGAGGTCATTAGAAAACACTGATTACTCTGTGAGAAGAATTCACTTATCACTGTTGATTGTTTTTGTCAGATTGTCTGTGTTCTGTGTCCAACTGTGCCTAATAGTGTGCTTTGTTCCTTTATTTTCTCTAATAAAAATAATTTTCTGTTCCATTAAGAGCCACTCTGCCTGGCTGAACTCGAGAGGATCCAAGTATTAGACGGCGGCAAGAGAAAGTTTGGTAGGTATCTGACTTCTCATAAGAGCATTTCAACCCAATTGGATCTGTTTTCCTGTTCGAGGGTTTTCATCGAGCAGATGAGAAGCAGGAGGCGGGGATTAGTCCCTGATCAGTCTTGTGGATTAAAACTTGATACTGACAGACGGCAAAGGAAAGCAGCCATCAGTGTGTCTTACATGTACATGTGAGCGGGTGTATATGTGACTGTGTGTGTATGTATTCGGACGTGTGTGCACGCATGTGCGCACTGCAGATTTTGGCTGACTGACTGGGCTCTGAGTCAGGACTCTCCAAGGACACAGAGCGGCAAGCAGGGGGCAGTTTGCCAGCCCGATGCTCAGATGTTCCCTTGAAAGACTGTAATGGACAGTTCTGTTTTGCCCCATCTCATTCGTGTCACACCTAGTTTTTTTCATTATTATAAAAGCAGCGTCTGAAATATTTAATGTCATCTGAAGAATATTAATTTACTCTTCTTAAGAAAAATACCCTACTATGTGAAGTTTCACCTCAGTGATAAATGCAAACACAGTATGTTTTCAAGGCTTTCTGCACTCACAGACAGACGCACAGGTTTTATACCGGCAGAAATTGAAAACTTTCCAATCTTGTGTCCTCCCTTATCCCGTGATGATTAGCTAGCCACCCCCACACACACACACACCCCTACATGCTGCAATATGCTGACCTAATACTTATTCACCCCTATCTATTTTGCTCCGTGAACATATTTGTATTCATGGAATATGGAATTGGCTGCCACATATGCTGCATGCATTACATTTTTACTTGGGCTCGGTGCCATGTGTGATGAAGCATGATTCATTGGGTTTGGGAGAAATTATGCGGTATGTAAGGTGTTGTAGGGTTTGCTTTACCATACCTGACTGTTTATTTATTTGGGTTTATGCGTGCGAATGCTAGGTCGATTCATCCCCAGCTGCGATGAGGATGGCTACTACAGGAAGCAGCAGTGTGACAGGGGAGAGTGCTGGTGTGTTGATCAAAATGGAGGAGAAGTAGCCGGATCTAGGATTCGTGGCAAGCCAGATTGTGGTAAGTTTCATAGGTTTTCAGCTGTCAATATATATAAATAGAATTTGAACTTGAAAGCTGAATGTAGCAAGAAAAAAAAAACTCTCAAAATGTCCACTGCGGATTGGCCCACGTCTCTACAGCACCCCCGCATGCATTCTGGACAAGGCTTCCTTTATGTTAAAGGACTGAGGCCCACTGCAACATAACTCACTGCAGGGACCAGTGCCACATTCATGTGTCCGGAGTCATTTGCATTCTAAAGCGCTGCTTGTCGCTGTGAGAAAAGTCTTTCAAGATAAATGAGGACTGGTTGGACTGAACCTGCGCCTGATAAGAATGGGTCCCCTGGCAAGGTTTAGAAATAGCTATTAAAATCCAGACAAAGTCAAACATATGCCCCCTTTTTTTTTGCCATTGCAGTCAATGTTTTTAAATTGATTTCAGCTTTTCTCATTGGTACAGAAAGGACTCTATCAAAGTTGAGAGGAAGACATGCTGAACAGAATTCATTACAATATACAAGATGGCAACAGTGGATAATTTAATCTCCCTGCATTCCCCTCTCCCCTGCATGTTTTCTCCTCCCGTCTCTCTACAGATGATGAAATGGCATATTCGGGCGATTTTGGCAGTGGGGTTGGATGGGAAGACGAGGAAGAGAAAGAAGCTGAGGAGACTGCAGAGGAGGCCGAAGAGGAAGAGGGAGAGGTGGGAGAGGTGGATGATGGGGGCTATATCTGGTAAAGGGCACACGTGTAGTCCAGCCTCTCTACAGGAGCATCTTGGTGGTCCCAAACACACACACACACACACACACACACACACACACACACACACACACTTACACACAGATCCTGCAAAGAGATGGACGTGGTGAAGTTTCTCACACTCAGAAAAACACTGGCTTATGAAAAAGCGAGGGTTGGGAGAGGGAAGGTGCATATGTTATGGGAGTATTTAATGTTACAGGATGTTCTTAAAACGGGACGGGGAAGGGGAAATATCACTATTATGAAATTATGGGTATGGAGTCAAGGATTTTGTCCCCCATACTTGTGAATCTTTGTTCTCTTCTGTTGTATGTCCTATGAACCATCTTTGAGCAGTTTTTAGCTGATGCTGACTTTAAGCAGTTGCAGGTGCTTGTCATGTGCTTGCATAAAAATTAGGAAAGATTGGGTGCATTTCAGTAGTCCAAATTGGCCTCTTTCATCTTTTTCTTTTCAGCAGATTATAAAAATTTAGATAACCAGTTTTGGTTTTAGGCAGGAAACGGGCCATAAAGAGAGGAAGCCACATTAGAGTATTGAAAAGCACCCTTTACCGTTTTCATGTCATACGCTTCGGCTCATATGTGACAGTAGTGCTCTGTCTCATTCATGACTTATTAAAAAAAAAAAAAAAGTTCCTCACGCATCACTCTTTAGCTTGTATATAATGTGTGTATCAGAAGACAGATTGTCACCTATTAGTCCTGTTATCAATGCCTTGACAGACTTGCAGAATATACTGCTTAGTTGACAAGTATACATCGTATCATAATGTGGATCAATTATTGTGTTTAATAAAAAAAATAAAATAAACTGGTCTATGTGGCCCAGCCGCCGTACATCTGAGTCTGCGCCTCTGTTCTCTCTCATTCCCTGTCAAGTTTTAGCATTGTCACGATCCTCGAGCAGTGGTTATGTGCAGTGTGTATGCCATACGAGTATTTCTTTCAGGAAGTGTTGATCATTCACAGCACACCTAAACATTCAACATCAGTTTCTGGAGGCCAATATTTGAGTTTAAACAAGACTACAGCCATGCTAGCGGCTGTGTGAGGCTTTGAGATAAATGCTTACATCAGCATGCTAACATGCTTACAGTGACAGTGTCAGTACAACACAATATTTAGCAAGTTTACCATATTCACCATCTAAGTTTAGCCTATTAGTATGCAAATATTTTATAATTAGCGCTAAATATAAATTAATCTGAGGTCAATGGTAATGCCATTATTGTTTTTCAGATATTGGACAAACTTTTGACCTGATGATTGCGCCAACTAGTTAAAAAGTAAAGGGATAACCAACATGATTACAATTCAACATTCAAGTGATTCTTAAGAATGTTTATGTTACTGGCCAATATATTGTAATCATATTTGTAGCCATTTTAGCAGCGAGGGTTGATGTATGGACTACAAGTAGGTCTGAGTGTTGGTCTTAAAACACAGATTCTTAAATTCTTCCTGTTGTTACAAGTAAAATCTACCAGTTTTGCAATATGATGGATTTGATCATTTGATAACAAACTAATCTACATCATTTTGAGCCATCAGTTTAAGAACATTTTCAATTTTCAAGTTAAACTACATTTTTGAAACTTGAATATTAAAGGACAAACATTATACTCTTTGAAACCCATCTTAAAAACTACCCTTTCATAAACATATGTTATATCTATGCATCCTCTGAGGGGCTGATTGTATTGTCAGCTCACTGCTACTCTTGCCTTACCTCATTCTGCAGTGGAGTGTATCTTATAGCTATGGGAAACCAGCAGAAATGAGATACAGACCCAGGCCTGCATATCAGCACTTCTAACAGCACAATGCCTATAGAAAACTCTCTCCTCAGCCTCCCCGGGACATTGCTCCAGCCTCTCCTCTGTGAAACTATTCAGTCTGGGAACAGTGAAATAGAAACCTTACAGTATGTTACAGTGTATGCCCATCTTTGGGAGCTCAGGCCAGGAACGCTTGTCTTAGCATTGTAAAAACTGACAGTAACCAATCCTCTGAAATGTCATTTCTCAGTTTCACATTTCAGTGATAATGGAAATCAGTAGCAGTAATGTCCCAGTGGGTGAAACCTTAAATGTGTTAGCTATGAGTGGGTTTGCCTGCCAACAGATGTCTGAATACCTGATACCGACAGCAAGTCTTCTGGCTACCCAAAGGGACCAATCATTTTCAGCAACCTGTCAGCCTATTATGCTGAATATTCCTCCTGCTTCATGAAAACAAGCCATATGTAACAGAACCAGGTGTAAATCCTAACACAAGCTTCCACGAAAAGTGCATCATCTTTTCTTGTTGCTGTAAAATAATTAAGGCTTGATGTGGAATCATTTTATCTGATGCTTTATTACATAAGGAGAAATAGGGCTAATTAATCTTGCTTTATTCAGCCTTCTAGCTCTTTCTGTTTCTTTGATATTTTACTTGTCATAATGTGTAATTTGTGATGATTGTGTACAGAAATATACCCAGCTTACACAGAAATATCTCCATAATTAACCATTTTTTATCAATTTAATTACATTACAGTACAATAAAACAATCAAAACAGGCATTAAAGTCACTTTAGTTTGGCTGTTAACATCTTTTAAATATTTCACATTGTTTACTGCATTATTCTGGGTATCAGCATTAAGAATTGATAGGTCTTGTTTTAGTTGCATTTACTCCTTTGTGCCTGAGGTATGAAAAATTAGGTATTAAACATAAAGTTATGCATTTGAAAATATCAGTTTTGTTAAAAAGAATTATACAGAATATAAATTTGATCATCAAATGTTATTTTGAATATAATATATATTGATTTAACCTTCCATTCTTTTCCTCTAGCATATCCCAAGGTGCAGGGTTCCTCTATTATAGTTTGCTTTGAGAATCTTCTAGCCTCCACACCCTTCTGATATCTTCTTCTGTGGTGTCCAACACCCTGAACACATTAGCATCCCTTGTCTGGTGAAAGTGCTGCAACAATCTCTGGAAAACAGACACTGGGATGCAAAAGTTGAGGTGCGGGTAGGTCACTTTGGCGGCCAAGTCCCTTGTGTTGCTGGACACGATACCTGCAAAACAGCAAATGCTCATTATACACTCTTAGAATTACAAACACAGCAGTGCAGAAAGAGCAACCTGGTGTGTACAGTTGCCTCATCTCTCTCTACATGTGGTGCATTGTTGTAGTAGGGTTTTTCTGTGGTCATCATATGCCCCCCACTGTTCAAAAAGAGTACATGTTTTTGTAGTTGCAGGGTTTCTTACCCAGCAGCTCTCCTGAGCATCTCCGCACCACAGCACCCCCACTGGCCCCTGCTTGTACTGCACAAGTGGTTTGAAGCATGACAGTCTGGTCATTCAAGCTAATGGCTTTGGAGAGGATACCACAGGTCATAGACGGACCACAGCTCCGACCCAACCCACCATATCCCACCACCACTACAGAATCACCTGTAGGCAGAGAAATCAGGCTGATCATTCATTAGCTTAAAGAAACAGAGACCTCCTCTGCCACAGAATACGCAGGAAGATGTTGCTCTAAAAAACAATTCAACAAAATAAGGGTGAAATCAAACCTGGGCTGTAACTCTGAGTCATTCGAGGGACCACAGCCTCTGTGGCGGAGTCTCTCATCTGCACCAAAGCCAAATCATAGGGTGAAGATGCTTTAGTGGAAAACAGCACATCCCCCACAAGATCATGGACTCTGTGAAACACACATCGCCAAAACAAAGAGCCAGCATTACATATTCTGTATTCTGATCAGAAACATTACAGCTTGCTAAAAGGCACAGGTGCTTTAAATTATTCTGGCTGATTAAACCTACACTCCAGTTGAAGTAGCTGCTGGTAATTAACAGGAGGTCACCAAAGTCCACGTACTCTTGAGAATAGTAAATGTGTAAAACCACCAGTTTTACAGTCTACATGTGAATAACACATATACAATCACATATGATATGATGATATATGAAAAGACGTGTTGATGATTTTCACTGTGACACTTTCTTATGTGAACGTGCCTAGAATCAACAAAGTGTAGGACCTTCAAAAGGAGTTAAAGGAACCTAAAAACACAATAAAACAAGGCATCCAATCATCTGGACTACCAGTTTTACTATGTTTTACTAAGATTTGGAGCTATAAACTCACACACACAAAAAAGGGTCATCACAATGGCTTAAAATAAACTTTTTTTCCCCCTCAGTCTCAAACTCTTAGTTTCAACTGTCCCAGACCTAACAACCAATTAATATAGTTAAATAACTTTGTTTCAGTAGCTCACATGACTTCCGTTCACTATCTGAATTAAAAAAATGTAAATCACAGGTGACCCTGGTATCTCACCCAGTAGAACTGGCGCCATTAACCAAGGCTGAGTCCTTGCTGCAGCGACCATGGGTTTCTCTGACCTGTGACCTGTCGCCCTTTGCTTTCTTGTCAATAAGTGCAGTGCAAATTCAAACCTGTTTCTTATCGGTATTGCCAATGGAAATTTACCTACATACACTTTGAATATTATTATTATTATGTAGCCAAATAATCACAAACGGAGGGACATTGTATATTTGAAGATTACAGAAATTTACAAAGGGAGGGAAAAAAATCAAACAAACTATTGAAACAAGCTCAAACAAACTATTTACATATAAGCTAAAGGAACACTAATCCATCGATGCGGAGAAAAAAGAAAATGTCAAACTAACTATTTACATATGTACAAGCTATAGGAGCACCGTAATCCAGAGATCCGGTGAGAAAGAGTGACAGAGAGAAGGTCAAACGTGTCTCACATGCCACACCTACTGCCTGTGCACAGTGCAGGAGGAGAGGAAGAGACCCCGGCTGGATGAAGAGCTGTGGACTACGATTACTCTGAGCAGCATGCATGGGAATGAAGTAAAATATATCTATTGCCTTTTCCCTGATGGTCTGAATAAGTTGCTAAATTTGCTTTTTAGAAATAAAGTCGGCGAGAGGGTAAAAAAAAAAAAAGTCAACAGTGGTCTCTCTCTGTGATTGATTTTGTGCGTGTAAGTGTGCATCGGATGTAGTGTAGAGCAAGTGCTGGTGCCACCTCATATGTTTTAAATTTCTAACAATTAAAATTTTATATATATTCAATGATGTATAAAAGTAATGTTATTTGTAATTATACATTTCTCTACAGTCCTAGAATTGTCCCAGACCCTATATCCTGTGTCCAAGATGCTATTTTTATTGTCCCCATTGACAACGGGATGTCCTTACATCTCCAAACATTTTGACTTGTCATAGTAGGAAAACTAATGTCATTAACAATAGCTGTATTTCATTTAGGGGCCCCTGATACTATGCATGGTGGCACAGAGCCTTCTGGGATATTTTACAAACATGGCAGTTCAACATGGCTGCCTCCATGGAAGGTGACCTGTGGTGTCTCCAGACAACAAAAAACTATTCTTATTTTCAGGTGATTATTATACACTAATGAAAATATATCCATGAATATTATATTCTATTTCTGCCAACAGATCCTCCTAAATGTTACACACTGGACCTGTTATTAGTTCCACTTATGCATTTCCTCTATTAATCATGTTTTAATGTGTTTTGGGATTAATTCTCCCTTCAGAAGGGGTCAGAGAGGGGTATGGTTGGGTAGAACCTGACAGTTCACACTTAAAGGGGTTAAACTGTGAATGCGCTGTCACCTGTCCCTGTGATGGAACTTCAGGTTGACCTTAGACTTCCTGTTGACAACATGCCGGCAGGTCACAACCAGCCGGGACGTGACAACGACCCCTGAGCCCCAGAGCTGTCCACTGTCCACAAGGCACACAGTGGGGTATCTAACAGCGCTTGACTCGTGGGCTGTGGTGGACATCTGGAGGCCCGCCTCTCCAGGATGGAGCCACACATCTCGGAGTGGATCTTGAATGCTCATGCAGTGGATGATGTTCCTGAAGATCGAGCGGACAGAGCAAACAAGAGTGAGGCCAATCCACTCGTTTGCCTTCCAACCAAATGGAGACACAATCAGTCCAATGAGACGCACATTGTCTGTGCCCTTGACCACAAACAACCCTCCGCCCTCTGTGCCTGGTAAGCACCGGGCATCTGTGAGGATGACAGCATGGTCCTCTCCTGCGAGGTTACTGATGATGCCTCTGCTGAGGGTGCTGATGAAGAGATCTAAGCAGAGGGAGCCGAAAGGTGAGCCACATGCAACAACCGGGAGGCCCTTGTGGAGAGATGAGCTGCTCTGCCAGGGTATAGTCCCCAAATCTGGGCTGCTGTCTGCCAACCCAGTTGCCTTGAGGACTGCAAACCAGCTGAGGAACTGGGCGTCTCTGGTCAGCTCCTCATCCTCTTCATCACCTTGGAAACGCCACTGGTCAGCCTCCTGGAAGACTGCCTGGAAAGCCTGTTTAAAGTCCAGGCAGTTCACGAGCATCAGCAACTCAGCTGCAACCTCTCGGTTACCTGTTGTTCTGTTTCTGGAGGGTGGGAGTGATTCTCCATGTGCTGCCTGTCTGGTGTCAAAATCTCGCTCCGTGGAAAAGCTGACGCGGATTTGAAGTTTTCCAGTGAAGCTGCGGGGTGACAGGAACCCGGGGTCCGCGGAGAGGGGCTCTTTGTCGGTAAGAAAACGGGAAAACGGGAGGCCGGTGCATATGACTGTTCCGGTTTTAGGATGGACGATCACTCCGCTGCAGCTCACGGGTTTCTTGGTTGAGAAAGCCTCTGACACCTTGACCACACAGCAACACCTCCCGACCTCCTTCACCTCCATGTCGTTAGCAGTGGAGATGAACTTTAGCCATGTGTCGATAACGGAGTGTAACAACTCTGTTAAACCGGTGAAAAACACCGCATTTAAAAACAGCTACAGCCCAGTAGTGAGACAAGAAAACAAACCTCCATATTGGACAGGTATATAAGATTGACCCCGAGTTTAAACTAATGATTTGTCGATAATATTATCCATAGTAGCGTTTAATAACGTATGTTCCTGTGTGTACTTCCTGCTTAAGTCTCATTGGTCCCCGAAAAAAAAACACGAGACCTACCGATGAATGTGATTGGTCAGAATGTAAACACAAACAGCTCTGAGCCAATGAGAAATAAGAAGGTGGGAATATAGTTGGTACATGGCTTCATGTGTATCTTCTGAGGCTGATAACATATTTTTGGAATAACTTCAAACCATGAATACCTGAAAGGGACCGTGATTCATCTGTTTTAATTAACTGTAATGTTTTAAACTATGAGTTTTAATGGCAACTGGAAATGTGGTGTGGTTGCCAGTTAACAATTTTTATTCAGTTGAGTGATTTAATTTTAAGAAATAAGTTTGGTGCAGACCCAGTATATTTACCAATAATGACTTATTTCCATATCAGACCTTAGTATTTTATTGTGGTATGTTTATTTTTTGTAATGGTTATGTGTATAGCACATAGCATAATATAAATGTTGAATAATATTACAGAAAAATGTCCCATAGTTCAACTGGATTAAATAATTTCTCAGTAGTACATTTTAAGAATTTTATAACATTTGGAATAAAATATTATCTATTGATAATAATTATGATAGTGTAGTAAAACAATTTCCCATTTAGACCTAATTAAAAATTAAACAAGAAAGATTTAAAGGATTGTCAAAAAATGTTTTATTATGCTCAAACTTCAAACATGTTTAATAACAATATGGCCTACCTTTTGTAACAGATACATTACTCCAGAGCTTGACACTTGATGTAACATAAGGCAAGCCCAATTTTTATTGCAAAATATAAATAAGAGCTTATATACAAGATAATGTATAATATTGCACTAAGAGGTAATTCCATGCATATCTATTGCGTGCCCTATTTTTAGGCACCACCCAAGTACTCTCATAATATCTGCCTGTTGTGAGCAGCCACTAATCACAAAGTACTCAAGTCATTTCACAGCAATTAACCATTATGAAAACAGGTAGTTTGGCATCCTCACTGTGGACAGCTGATGTAGTGGTAACATATACTGCAAATATTTTGCACTGTTCTGTGCTATTGAATAAAGCTCCTCGCAGCAAAATGTCAGTCAATGCACTTATGGTCGCAGTCATATAATTGGCCTGTAGTGATAAACCCTTCATTAATTAAAAACAAATGTGCAATCAACAGAACTGTAAGTATCCTTGGATTTAGCAGGCTACTGTATTAGTGCTTCTCTCTTTAACAAATATGGCATCAAAACTATGCTGTTCTTTGAAAATAATGATGGTAATTCAAGATTCCCAAGAACCAGAATAAATATAAGGATATAATTATAATATTCATCCTCAATCAAGGAAAAGTAACTCCAAGCACAAAGTGTTAACCAAATTGACCTTCACTGTAAGTCTACACCAGCAGCTAAATATAAACCCGGGTCAGAAACTGGTTCACAGCGATGACATGTTCTATATGGCAGACAGAATTCCCTACAGGCTTTAAGTTAAGGTAGGAACCACACCATGAAGCTTATACTTCACATTCAATCCGAACAATACAGACTGAAGAGTCATAACTTCATCTTTGACTCACTGTGGTATGATTGATATGACATACATATTTCTTTGAATGCATGAAGAACACAGGCTATATTAACAACACAAAACACTACTTCAAACACATTTCCTACTGGCACAGTCCAAGTCCTAAATTGAGTATATTTAATAAAATCTCTCTCTATGGCAGGTAGTATTGTGTGGAACATGTCTTTGTGTGCACAGGCAGCACGGTAAATCTTGTTACGGTTGTTAAAAGAACGTGAATCAGTCAATATACTGGGAGAGCCAGCGGAAACCGTCCCCATATCCTTGTCTCTTCAGCACGCTGCACATGAAAACCTCCATTGGCCGCAAATTCAGCTCCTTCAGTGACACTTTGCCCTGAGAAGAAACAAAAAAAAACACATCCAAAAGCACAAATTTTAATTCACAACACAAACATTTCAAACATCTTTTTCCATGGACATTGAACATGAACACTCCGTATCTTAAACCTGTATCTTTCAACAGGGTGGAGCATAGCTGATAGTTGTAGAGTTGTGGTCTGTCTCAATGATATGGATCACTGACACAGGGCTTCAAAAGTCACTGTCTTTTACTGTCTCTTCTTGTTTCTTGCTTGCTTGAGAAATAGCAGGTGGTAAACCTGATTTACACTAATGATGAAAGATTTGCATGAGACAGGTAAGGTGCCAAATGCTTCTCAACAGCATATTGCCCCCCACTGCCACTGTACTTAACAAGAGCAGCGGTGATCTAAGCCCGCCTGCCCTTGGAAAGTCTGATTTGTATTAGAAATTCAAGCAAGGCAGAGTTTATCTCAGAGCTAAGGTGGGTGCAATAACAACTTTCGGTTGTGCTGAAAGGGACAGTGTATTTGTGAAGCTCACTGTTGTTATTATGCAGTGCAAATGCCCTTGAACGGCAACATGGACACAAATGCACTATTTATTATAGTCATAAAGCAGAAATTACGTTTACGCCGGGGACACAGAGGAGGTGGAAGCTCCACAAAGCACTAACTGTTCACATCAGATATGCATTTCTCTGCACAGGCCAACAAGTGATTCTGCTTCTCTGCTCTTTTCTAATCACACATAGAGCTGATCTTTATAATAACCTCATGAATTTATAATGTAAAGGTCTTTATGTGTCCCTGGATGAGCTGTCACCTCTTCTGTTACAATGGAGTTGAAAGGACCATCGCCTTGTGTGATCTGCAGTGAGGGGCTTCTCTCCTGTGTGTGTCTGTGTGTCTGTGTGTGTGTGTGTGTGTGTGTGTGTGTGTGTGTGTGTGTGTGTGTGTGTGTGTGTGTGTGTGTGTGTGTGCAGATGTTGATATTTCATCGTGTGGGTGGAAATACATCGGGGGAATTGAAACTCCAGGAAAACAGCAGGGAGAGGGGCAGAAAAATCATCATCATTATCTTTTTCAGAATTAGATGTTTTACATAACATATCATTTATATTGTTTATAATAGATTATCAGTGTGTTTTCTCGCCAGACTCACTCACGGTGCATCGAAAAAATATAACAGACGCCAAAACTATTACTGCAGGTCACGAGATGGCCTTCAACTTGCTTTCGCTTTCTTGTGTGTCCCCAGCGTAAGGAGATTGTTTCTAACTATAGTAAATCTGCCTTTTTGTTGCATTCCACCATACAGACAGATTCAATAATAAAAAAAAACAATACAATACAAATAAAAAAAAAAAAAACAGGACAGACTTCAGCATTTAATCACATCATTTAGTGTGATCATTACCTTTCCAGTTGTATGTCCATGAAGACCAAACATTCCTCTGAGTGCATCCTCACTGATGGCCTCTGGACGGTCTATTTTATTGCCCAGGATGAGAACCGGGACGTTTGAGGTGGTTTCATCTGTTAACAAGGCCTGAAGAGAGGAAGTATATATTCACCAAAGACACCATTCCTATCATTGGCCAAAACTATAAACAACTGTGCTGATATACAAGTGAAATCAACTTAATTAACTCACATCCAGTTCAACTTTAGCCTCTATTAGTCGCTCATGATCAGCACAATCCACCATGTAGACTATACCATTTATGGCTGGGAGATAGTTCTTCCAGATCCTTCGTGCTGTGAGAGTAACACAATGTCAGTATTTAGGTAACACACAAGTGAGAGCTGCTAGTGCATCAAACAGCATTTTTCCTTATTCCCACCTTGCGTGTGACCTCCGAGGTCAAACGTCGTAAAGGTCATTCCAGCTATTGTCAACTCCTCGGACGCTGAGGACAGAGAGGAAGCACTGACTTTAAATAAGCGATGAAGCAAGAAACATAATGCTGATTGCTGAACTGACTACATGTCAAATCTCTGGATGTACTTGGGTGTAGCGTCGGAACGTGCTGTCCTAGCCTGTCATCTCTGAGCATGTGCAGGAGTGTTGTCTTTCCAGCATTGTCCAGGCCAAGAAAGACTAGCTTGCCAGTCTTCTTGTACAACCCTGATAATAAAAAGAAAACAAACGGATATGAATTTGTAAACTCACCATAAACTTGTATTACGGTTTTTATCACAGGCTTGATGAGGATGATGATAAGCAGGATGCACCACAGTCATCACAAACACAAAAGGGTTTTCTTTTTTGTCATATTCAAGAATGCCATTGTTATAATAAATCTGTGATTACACCTTTACGCACAGTGACTGGTATCTTTTATACAGATAATATCAAAAAGAAATTGGTGAAATATTTCAAAATAAAGTTCATCATAATAACACTACATAACATAGTTACCAGATGTACATTTGGAGATACGTCTTGACTTATTCATAAAAATACACAACGCTTTCCACTGTTTCCTTGCTCTCTACTGGCAAAGGGATTGACTGAATGTTTACTATTTTCAAAGACCTGCTGCGCTGGTTCTGTAACATAATGTTTCTGACACTTTCAAAAGAAACTTTGGGATGTTTCCTTCCTGGCAAGACCTTATTCATGAATAAAGTCAGTTTGGTTCGTGAGCTACAACCATTTTAATTTGGGTCTGTCATTTTAGAATGGAGAAGGATAAAGTCAAACCGCACTGTGTATGTTGTTAGCACAGTTTGAGAAACAATGTTCTGTATGTCAAATGGGAATTTATTCTGTATGACAATAAGTTCTGGTGGTTAAGGTTGGACAATATTGTTGGTATTTATGTACAATACTCTACCTAATAGTTGCAAGACACTGCTGAAGCTCCTGTAGATCCAGTCAAATATAAAAGACATTTCTCTTGACTGCCTGTAATACAGATAACAAAACTGAAATCATTTATCAAGGCACATTTAAGAAGAACACAACAAAGTGCACATACGGGATCTCTCAGTGATTAGTTCATGTTCAAGCTGTAAGCAAGCCCCCTCTCCCACCATAAGCATATGTCCAGAATAACAACATAGCAGTACACATGGCCAAATAAAGAGTATAGTATAGAGTTGACTATAATGCTGCGAACGCCCATGGTTGCATTACAGAATCTAGCACTGAAGCTCATTGTTAATCGTTATTCCTGACCCCTGGATTACTCTTCTGGTATGTGTAAGCTCTGTGTAATCACACAAGATTTAAAGTATGAAAGGAAAGGAGGGCAAACTGAGCAACAACCCGGCTTTATGATGATTTTTAGATGCTGGTTTTGTTCTGAGAGCTGTCTCACTGAGCCACACTGATCTTCCTCTGACTATTTTTATGACAGGTTGTGGCAAGGACACTTGATCTCGGCAGTCACCCCCTGCTTCCCTCTCTCGCCCACTCACTCACACACACCTGTTACTCTCTGTGGGACTTAATGTGCTTGTTGCAGTGACTAGTGAGGCCTTCAGTGACTAAGGCTTCGGGAAATTACCCAATTGTTGATTACTTTGTACAATGTTTCAGCCGGGTCATTTGTAAACACTCAACTCCATATATAAAGTATGACATATGATTCCTATGTCTATGGATTAAATACTATAACGCAACAGACGCCTTTAGTAGGTAGTCGTGTCATAAATAGCCGCAGGTTTTCTTGCAAACCCTTAAACAAGTATTCCAGTATAAATATACATGAATTACATCATAAAACACGACAGGCCACTAAACTCATGAATGAGCTCTTCAGAAACGATTGTTCCAGTGATTTCACCATTACTGCCACAGTTCGGCTTATCAAAGTTAGTTAGCTAGTAGCAACGACACCAGCTGCCACAGCGTAAACAATAAAACAAACAAAGTTAGTAAAAAAAACAAACAACACTGGCGCGCAGGAGGTCCAGAATGACAAAACTAAAACTTTATAATGTCAGGAAAGTGCGCCAACAAGCAGAAAATAAGACTTAAATGGAAATGTGGGACGTGGAGTTAAGTACATTTAATACATATATTTGTGGTATTACCTTTGGCTGCCGTAACGATGAACTGCCCGTCCGCTGGTTTTTGGTCCAAGCCTGTCCCGTCGACTGACGTGAGCCTACAAGTTTGACAGTTAGCCGGAAGTACGTCACTAGAATAGCTAATAAGGGGGCGGGGCGAACGTGTTTTTTTTTTCTTTCTGAACTTTAAAAATATAATGTGACGATTTAAGAATAAAATAAAACAATAAATAAACATCTGTAAGGGAAAAAAATGAATAAATCTGACACATTATACTTTATTTATGCATTAATGTGTGTATTACTTCAGTGTTGCAGCTGGTAAAAGTGGAGCTATTTTAAAACAAATGGAGTAATAAGTTGCTTACTCTACAATAGCCTACATCTTAATTTAGTTGTTAATTTTATTTTGTATTACTACTCAGTAATAACACTACTACTTGACAGCAGTCAAATACATGTAATGGGGTTAAAAAGTAAAAAATAAATTGGTACAATATTTCCAAACGAACTGGAGTACAAGTATAAAGTAGCATAAACTAGAAATACTCAAGTAAAGAAGAAGTACCTCAAAATTGTAATGTACTTGAATACCAGTAAATGTACTTAGTTACTTTCCACCAGCGTTCACTCCTCCTCTTTTACAATAGGAATCTATTACAACATTTGGGGCAGATGTTTAATGTCATTTTCCACAATATTAATACAGTGTTCTAATCATAAGTCATTGCCCAAGAAAAGTACTTTTCTCCATAGTGTCTAATATATGCACAATTTTAAACTTTTCAAGGTGTCTTAATGTATTTTGGATGGAATTGGCATATCTTGTTGAGCAGATTTTATCCTACTTATAAAATAATATAAAATATAAAATTCAACTACATTTTTATGTTTACATTTTTTATTTACCATTACACTTTTTTTGTTGCTCCCCAATCTAATTCTACCTCTTATTTTAAGTTTAACACTATTATTATAAACAGGAAAACAAGCCTGATAGTAAACATTTGAGCCAAAGGAATGACCTAAAACGCATCACTATAAGTTGAGAAAATAGTACATTTCTTTTAAACATATTACAATATAAAAAGAAAGACAAAGTATGGTACTGAACACTTGGTGGCAGCATTATAACAATGACAAAGGTTCAGCCCACAGAATAGTACTAACACCTCTGCTCATTAAACATGGCAGTCATGGAACAGCAACAGAGAAACAAGAGTGTTTTGCTCCTAATTTAGAATAAATTCTGTTACTGACAAGTGTTATCCAATTATCTTATTTTCTAGTGCTCAGGGAGAAAAAGAGAAATCACACACTTCAATGATAATTTAACCCCAGAAGCTTTATTAAAGCAGTTCAATGTCTCATACAGAGCAAGTATCTAGTAGGCACATTACCTGTACTTTGCTTATAACAGCACATCTCCAGTGAGATCTTTGTTAAATAAAATCATTGGTCAAGACATGGGTACTTTTTTGACATTTCTCTCTACAGTATCTACCTATAACCTCTTCATCTACAGGAAAACATCCAATCCAGACCCAACCATCCATGTCCCATCCCATCCCTTCCCCCCATTGGTTCCTAATGTAAGACCATCTTCAAGTATTCCTGAGAGATGAGCCTTTCACTCTGCTCCAATCCAACCAGTGCCTGGATTACTTCTTCTCATAGTAGAACCATTTATCGACTGCAAATGAAAACATTAAATCAATCAATCTCACAGTTGCTCAATCAAATTTAGCAGGAATTCAACAATCTGGACATTTACAGGAATATGTTTTGAAATATTACCTGATGAAGGGATAGGTTCTTCCTTTCCACAAGGACATGTCTAAAAATAGAGTGGAACATCCGTTATAAAATAATAATCAAGAAGGAATGAGGGCTGGTTTTGAGATTTCATATGTTGCATAAAGGGATGAACAAAATCTTACTTCACCAACAGCTGCTTTGGCCTCATCTACTGAGCAGCAGAAAGGGCTGTCACCGGCCGACACACACGTGTTTTTGCTGTATTGTGTGAGAAGACACAGTCACTTTTAGTCAAAAAGCCATAAATGTGTATATTTCAGGGTACACTCGTTCTTAAAGCAACTTTATGTTGAGCTGTAGTCAAAGCAGTTAAGAGTGTTTACCATTTCAGTTCACCGGCTTTGGCCTTTTGGGAAATGAGGGCTTTCCAGAAGTTATGGGTGCTCTTGATTACTTCAATGGCAAAGTCCTGAAACACAAAAAAACAGTAAGTGCTTAGCTGAAAGTAAGTTTTTTACAGTTAACTATAACATGTGTATATAATTCTAGTTCCAGTGAAGGTTTCAATGATTTGCTCAAAGTTTGACAAAGGCGGAAACTGCATATCATGGTTTGACAGGGAGCACGGAAACTCTTGACAAAACATCTGTCATAGTACAAATGATGACTAAGCAGAGTGTGTTGCATACACACCTTGTCTTTAAACTCATCATTGAAAGCGAAGCGGTTCTCTGGTTTCCCATCTGGCACTTTGTACCTCCTGAACCAGTCGACCGTGGCCTCCAGATAACCAGGCTTCAGGCGCTTGACATCACTGATGTCTAAACACGGACAACAAAACGAGTTCAGTACGACCGATGCAGGACGGCTCACAAACACAGACAAGCGAAAACAAAGAGCGACTTTAATAAATTGAGGCGCTTACTGTTCAAGTCGTTGGCTTCAGGGTCCTCTACATTGATTGCAATCACTTTCCAATCAGTCTCACCCTCATCGATCATGGCCAGGACCCCGAGCACTTTCACTTTGATTACCTCTCCGCGGGAACACACCTTAGGAGAACATTTCAGTTTGAAGTTATTTTTCTGTTGTTGTCATCAGCAGCAGCATCCTTATTTCCATGAAATTACTGTACAAAACAAATAATGAAATCGATAATCACTGTGACTTAATGACCTCGTGAAAGATGAACAACAAGGCTGCAAAATCATCAGCCGGTGTTGTACCTTACTGCCGATTTCACAGACATCAATGGGGTCGTTGTCACCGCAGCAGTCAGTGTCTCCATCTTTGTGCGTGGGATCTTCCCATGTCTGACACACCACAAAACAAAGCGCACAAGCTGAGTTAAGACAGAATGCAACGTTTGCACGTATTAAGTAAAACTACTAAACATTTACATTTTAAACACTGCAGGATGTGAAATCGTTCAAACAAAAAACTAACCTGAGGAATGGCTCCATAGTTCCATATGTAGCCCTTATGAGGGAAAACATTGGCAACATATCGCAACTTGCCCTTCTTCACGTCTTGCTTTATTGGGTTCAAGAGGTCTTTTGTAGCGATCTGAAAATAAATTGTATAGCATATAGATACTTTTAAAGACATGTTTAGTGTTAAAAAGTACAATTCATTCATGTTGAAGGCCATTCATGATGCCTTATTGCAACAGAGGAACCTAATTTGATCCCAGACACAATAAAATGATTTGCTTGACTAAAAATAAAGGGTAGAAATGGTGAATCTCAACTTTTATTCTTGTTTGAAAAAGGTCCAGTTTGTGCGATTTAGTGGCATCTAGCGGTGAAATTGTGTTGGGAGGTTGGTGGGAGATAATTTGAGACACGTACCTCCATCTTTGCATTTGTCCATCTTGGTACCTCAACCACCACGTGAAAGATATTCTGCAAGAGACAAGAATCCAACATAGTTATCTTTAAATTATTCATACGCGGACGCCCGGATAGCTCAGTAGGTAGAGCTGGCGACCCATGTACTGAGGCTGAGTCCTTGCTGCAGTTCGAATCCGACCTGCGACCCTTTGCTGCGTGTCATCCCCTCTCTCTCTGCCCCCCCTGCTCCTGTCTGTCTTCAGCTGTCACTATAATAAAGGCAATAAAAGTCTAAAAAATATACATTAAAAAAGATTATTCATACGCAGTATACGACACAACAACACATAATCCTTACATAATGTGCTACATTCTGGCTTTTACTAGTCAGTTATTGCTTCGGTCAAATCCTTTGCACAAGCAAGATTAATTGTTTCAGATAGATAAGATAATGGATAATGTATTGCAATCACAGGAGATATTGACACAGCACTTAGAAAATAAAGAGTAAAGGCCATTGCCTTCACAAATAGACTATGACCTTTGCTATTTAGGAGAGCTTTACTAAAAACATTTCAATGCCTGTAATCTACAAAACATATTCAGAGCAGCGCTGTAGCTTGCATTTTAACCAGTGGGTAGATTTAAAGCGTACACATACAGAACACTTACATATTTAATGGGATAACCGTGACCTTACCTGACTCTCATCAGCATATATTGGTATGTCATGGAATGGTGAGATGTACTTTCCTTCAGCATTTTCTGTAAGACAGTCAGATTTAACACTGTATGAATATAGCAGGCAGATACAAGCTGCTTTTGTCTGTCTTATGTCAACAACTGAGTGGTCCTACAGCAGGGGAATGAATGTCAGATTGGATGGATTTCCAAGAGAGTACACAGGGTTCATTACTGCTTAAGTTTAACTTCTGGCTGAAGGTGTGTCAATAAGTTGTTTGGTGGTCTTGGTGGAAGAAAAACACCAATTTCTGACTGTATAGCAAGAATTATGAGAATTATGGGAAACATTACATTTCTTGTGGCCTCTGCCCTGAGACATACAGTAATAGAACCATTAACTTGCTCCCCACTAGGCCAAGGGTCAGCAACCTTAGGCACGCATGCCACCATTGGCACATGATAGCATACCCAATGGCACACTAACAAGAAGAAGAGTGTTTTTTGTGCTCTCTCATCTGCATACCAAATCTTTCACACACATTGGCAGTCACACTACCTGTCTTCTTAAAGCACCTCATGGCCTGCATACATGATTTCAACTCATATGTGGATATTTCACAAGGATGGCAGCCTTATTATATAGGGCCCTTGTATATAAGTACAATGTCCTGCTTATGGGAGAAAAATATATGTTTTTTAAATGTTGCTATTCACATTGCCTATATTGATGGAATAAAACAAAATTACCTGTTGGAGATTTAAATTATGATGTGGTGTCATAATTAAACGTAATGCTAATCTTCATGTTGATATGGCACAGTGATTAACAAGAACATTTAATCAACCCTTGTACCAAGCATTAAAGCCACAGCGTACTTATTACTACATAACCAATTTTGGTTTATTTTACACATCACACAATTATTGTAATGGCCGTGGTCTGCATTCAGAGACCTTGAGTCTTGCATTTTGATGATAAAGACAGTAACTTGGCTTGGATTTGTCTCTAAAAATCAATGAGCTTTAACTATGAGGGAGCTACAGGAACTTATAATCATTTAAAAAAAAAAATCATCTCTGTGCAGCTACAGCACAGAGAGCACTTTGTCCCACAGGTTAACAACACGCAGTCTCGTCCTATAAATAGCACATCAATGGGTATATTAACGCATTATAATCACAGAGGGCGTTGTCCAACCAACCTCAAGCCTTTATGAGTTTATGCTGGGTGACGTGTTTGAACACCTTGCGAGATTTCCCGAAATGACCAACTTCCTTCTACAAAATCCAGGCAAGAATAACGCTGTAAGGTTGGGGAGGATGACACATACTGTCAGAAATCAAACCACCTCACTGAGGATCGCTGTTACTTGGTAAAAAAAAAAAAAAAAAAACACGCATCTAGCTGACGCAACTTTACATGACTTAACCCGAGCCCTTACTGCTACGCAAACTACAGCGGTTTGGCTTGTAGTTTCCAATTTAAGAACATTACTCAACGCTACTACGGATACAATGAAACAACCCGGCGACAATAAAGGAATATAAGTGACACGTGGGAAGTTGCAGTCGGCCTGCCGGGGGTCTGTGGAGAGACCTCCAAAGTAGCAAACAATGACAAAACTGAATCATTTCTACTCAGTTTCTACTTACTGAAGAACAAGCGGTAGTTCAGGGAGTTCGGGTTTCCCCTCTCTTCCACCGTGAAGCTCATGTTGTTGAGGTTTTATGTGGCTGTCTGACTCTGGGATGGAGGACGGCGGCGGAAGGAAACGTCTGTGCTAGTGTTTTAGACAGAAAGGGCACAGCGCATGCGCACTTTCATACAGATGCCTTAACTGCCTGTCGGAAATATCAAACTTCACATGTGAAAAATAAAATACCGTCAAATATTTTTATGAATTCCAGCGTGCAAAAGACGATAATAATACCTCCACCATTACTAGCTGCAACATTGAAGTGATGTAGGCAAAATGCATCAATAATTATTGTTCAGTAAGATAAGATAAGATATTCCTTTATTTATCCCCCTTAGGAGAAATTCAGGTTGACACAGCAGCAATAGGGCAAAGAAGAATATCACAATAAAAATATTACTAATATTATTTATTCTGAATAATAATACTTTTGTATTTTAAACAATTTTAAATCCATGACTTATACTTGATTCATTTTAAAACACAGGCTTGAACAACAAAATACAAGTTGTAGTAACTTACCAAGAAATTTCTACTCAAGTACAATATCTTCTTTCACTACTGATGAAAACATGATGCGTGGTATTATGGTTATGAAAGTATTAAAGGCTCTATTGGTGTTAACTGATACAGTCTTCTGAATATATGAGTGATCTGCCTACTTGGCCATCATATGTTTTTCCTCACAGACTACATCACCCAGCCCAATCTTTAAATAAAATGTTGCATGAAACTACAAATAATTGAAAAGCACTCCCATACCTGTGCAATATTTATTTATTGAGGGAACGTCAAGAAGTGATTTTTTTAGTTCTGGACTATATCACTAAAGCTTTGAATAATTACAACATATATGCCCCTGACTTAATACTACAAACAATGTACTGGGCAGAATATTGAATTTATTAATAACACAGGAGTGACAACATTGTCTTTTCCCATTACAAAAGCTCCACAATGCCTTTATGTCCATTGAAATGCAGGATGTGAGTGTCATCCCTGTATAAGTCTTAAATACCCTAACTAACCAGTAATTGTACAATTAAACCTCAGTTGCAATGTAATATAGTCTGGAACTCCGAGATCTCACATTATATGGCTTGTGTCTTTGCATCAGATCAAAGTGACTTCTAATTACTCACTGCATGTCAGGAACATTAGTGAATGGACCAAAAACATTCTGAGCATTTGTACACAAAAAACACAGTTGTTTGCATATAACAAGGTTCAGAGAGTTTTAGGCACAGAAATGTGCCTAAAACGATCTTGATCTGGTCTGGTCAAAAAGTTTAAACTAGTGTTTGCTCTTTAAATTGCAAATAAGAGAATTTGGATCCTAATCGTTTTCCATCTTACAAATCTGGAAATCTTGTCAATAACATCATTAGGAAAACATTACGAGAATCACTTAAATGCCGAATCGAACCAGTGGGTTTGATTTGAGCTTCTTGCCAGCAAGGCTACATTTATGAAACCCAAAAAAGTATAAATATATGGATATATTTAAATAATTTGGTCCCTTTGTTTTCTATTAGTTCTTGCAAATTGTTGTTTGCTTGCTTTAAAACCTTATGTTATGGCAGCACTGACAATTTGAATTTTGGCAAAGGATGACAAGAACATTTAGGTTTAATATGAGGCCAATTACTCATGTTGTGAAAGATGTATGTGAATGAATGGAAATCTGACCAGATCCACTGTAACACATGTGACTTCAGTTTGTTTTCTACCAGTCTGCAGAATCTGCAAACAAAAAAAAAACACTCCAGACACAAATCCAGATATGTTTCTCAAAGCATTAAAAAAAAAAGTAGGATGGCACCATTCGCTGACTTCATATCCGCCCGCAGCCTGTCGTGCTTCCTGCCTTGGCGAGGGAGGGGACGGTGCTGACGGCTGGGAGGACGAGAGGAAAGACAAGAAAGCTTTTAGGGAAGATAAAAGAGAGTGGGAAACGGCCCTGGTTTCCACCGTCCGTCGGGAAAAAAAACACCACAGTTTTCTGTAGCTGCTTCATTTGTCATCGAATCGGCGCTGAAAAATGTCGGCCAGTCGTCAGCTTAGCGAGAGCAGGGCCATCCCGACCAGGACGGTGTTGATCAACGACACAACGCAGCTACCTCATGATTATTGCACCACCCCTGGAGGCACTTTATTCTCTACCACTCCCGGAGGTAAGTGGGGGGGTTAACGTCTGCGTTGTCATATTTTGCAAGAAAATGGAGGGGTCATTGTTTTTTCTGTGCTGTCACCAGACCTTCCACTGTTCACGTCTCTGTGGCCTAGGCTGCCTTGTCATCCCGTTCAAAATAAAAACAAAGCTTAGCCCCGCCCCCGTGCTCTCTAGCTGCTCACTGATTGGCTGGTTTGCTGCGCATTGATTTGATAAATGCATTGTTACCTATTAGTTATTATATTTAAATAAGGTGAAGACATACCCATGACAAAAAATGAATGTGAGAACCTGTAGTTTAAATCAAATACTTATATCATATTGTTTGGTAGGATTGCTATGATTCATTTCAGCCCACATATGACTACTCAAAATAAGGAAGTAGAATAAATCTAGCAAGGATACTGTATACATATCACTGTTGTCTCAACACTGTGTTACTGACATGCCTTATATTTCTACAGAAACTGCATAGGAATGATAAAGAGTCTTTCTATCAAGGGATTTCGTTTGTTGGTTTTATTGATTTATCATCTTGTCCATAAAAGGTCAGAAAATTGTGAGAAATGTTGAGAAGACAAAGGCGAGTTCTTCAAATGTCATGTTTTGTCCAAACAGACCAAACCCATTTAGTTAACATATTTAGTTATAATCATATAAAGCAGAGAGAAGCAGCACGTTAGAGCAGCTGGAGACGAAGACTTTGTGGCATTTTTGCTTTGAAAAATTATGATTAAATAACAAAATATTTGCCCATAGAGTTTCTATCAACCAGTCAATCCAATTAAAATACACGTGTAGTCTGAGACTTTTAGGATAGGTATTATTAAAGCAGTAGAGCCATTGTGGGGGGCACAAATAACCAGAGGAACACTATGATGTGAAACTAGTGTTGAACACCCTTTTTTTCCCCCCACAGCAGACGTTTTAGACCTGAACGCAGGTGTTACTGATCAAATGAATTGCTGCATTGCATTGCACTCATTTCGGGACTGAGCCATCGTTATTGTTACTAGTTCCACCTGCGCTTTTCTGCCGTGACAAGTCAAAATGGTCTGCTGTGAAAAAGGTCAGTGAAATGTGATTAATGTGGGAACAATAAATAAACCAGAGTGCTGCGATGCCAGCAATGCCATCGCGATTGAGGTTAATCAGATTTATTCAGAAAGCAAACAGCATGTGGAGCACCAGAAAAGGGAAAAACTCATGAAGCAAAGTTGTCAGTTAAAGCCATACCATGAATCTTGCTCTCACTATCAGCATAGGAGGAGAACCTTGTGTGTATAAACTGTGGAAGTTTGAGAGGTATTCAACTTTTTCACAACAGAACTGAGTGGAAAGCACGTAGTTAAACTGATTTAATAGGTTAACTGCTTTGGATGTTTTCCTGGCTTCCTATGAGGGGCATGAGGAACATCTTTAGTGGGACTTGAAGCCCTGAATCTATCACAGAACAGACGGTAACAATAAGTGGTGAAAGTGTTTTACTAAAGAATACTTGTTGTAAGAAGGTTAAATGCCTGTAGACATGCTTACCTGAATCAGGGCCATCTGGGTGAAAGCCAGTCTTCTGAGTCACAACACGTTCTGATAGCGCCTACATTTCTCACGAAAGGAGTGTGAATAACTGAAACTTTGTAATTGTGTCTTTGTTGCAGGAACCCGGATCATCTATGACCGTAAGTTCCTACTGGACCGGCGCAATTCTCCCATTGCCCAGACTCCCCCAGCTCACCTGCCCATCATCCCTGGAGTGACCAGCCAAAATGTCCTGAGAGAGAACCAGAAGAATGAAGCCAACAACCACATCAAGAACCACGATGGCAAGCCTACAAACGGTAAGAGTTAATATAAGTACTGAGTAACCAATTGATGTAATAGGGAAAGTTTTTATTGGTGTCGTTACCGAAAACATTTGACAAAACACACACACCCTCTGTTGTTGTTGTTGTGATGTAATTATTCCACTTAACAACCATTACAATAAAACCTCTTTCTGACATGTCTCAACACCTGGCTGTCTTTTTGTTTTCAAGGTGATGATGCCCAGTTTGAAATGGACATCTAACAGACTGGAACCACACCAGCAAAAAGCAAATGACCTGGCATCACACGTGCCAGTGGCTTGGCTTGTAGAAACCAATGTTGTGAGCCCTCATGGCAGCCATCTTCTTTAGCTCTCTGTCTCGCTGCTGGATGTAATGTGTGTAAACCATGGGGATTCAATGTATCATACATACAGGTACAGTGTGGCCAACTCCTGGAAACTAGGTTTATTTGTGTAGATATCCATGTTTACCAGTTGCTGTACAAATCAACAACCACACAGCAAGGGTGCAGGCCTCAATATTATATACCCACACACATTGTCCAGTGCTCATCTTACAGCTCTCTGTGAGTCAGGATCTTAAACAGAGCACACTTTAAAACTGATCATATTCCAAGTTAATTGGGGGAGGAAGTGGTAATTTTTAGTACCGGCCTTAGAATCAGTCAAAAGCTTTGATATTCATCACAGTCTTTGGTTTTGAAGACCCTTGTTAAGCATGTTATTTAAGTGATTTTTATTTCTTTTTTGGAACTACTTGAAAAGCTCCGCAATCTATCGGTTGTTTGGTCTGTTTTTAGTTTCCTGTGATGGTATGTAAAAGGGATGCTGTGTTTTTATTTAGCAAATTAGGTGAAGATTTTCATGTCATTCCAAGACTTCCAACACCAACACAAGCCTGTGTGAGTTTCCAATTTTCAGGGGAAAACAATTTTTTTCAGGCCGTGATTTAATTGTTTTGTGATAATCAAATGATTGTATTTCCCACTCTTATGTAAAGCTAATTATAAATCCAGCTATTGAAAACAAGCTTTTAATTTAGAATTACATTTCAGTATAGTATAAAAATGTCAATCCACTTGATTCATCACTGTCGTGACCTTGCTGTAAAACTATTTACACATTTCTCTCCTGCCAAGGAAAGTTAAGACTTTTTTTTTTTCTCCAGATTTGATGGTTACTTTTACTTAACTGGTTTGTTGCGTTGGCAAAAGCTTTGCGTTCATAATTTGAAGAAAGGAAAGGCAACATCTGTCAGGTATTTTTGAATATCCAGACCAGATTTAGATTAATGTGGAAATATCCCAATTGTTTATTTTGGGTAAAATACAAGAAGATTTTTGAAAAACTTGAAAGAAACCAGATGTTTTATATGCATTTTATTTTTTAATACAGTTTCTTAGTATTGAGGGTATCTTTTTGGGGTATGAGCACTGTCAAGCCTTTGGATTTGTTACAAGTGTCAAAGAACCAGAAGGCTTTGTTTGCATCAGGCTTGATAGATGCTGTCCCTTAATTTACAAATCTGTCCCCAGTGTCCTTATTCCACTTTACATTACCTTCATTTCATGTATCATGTCTGCCCATGCCTTACTTTACATCAGATGCAGTAACTAAAACAACGTTCTTTGTCATCAATTTGTACTTTCCAACAGATGTTTATTTTTTCACTGTAACATTGAACAGGTGACATTTTACTTAGCAACTGAGCAAAACAAGAACTTTTTGTTTTCTACATAGTTACTTCCTCAAGCAGCTGTGAAGTTTGAAAATGTGATGGCGTACATGTCATTGTGGGATTCTGAAGTTTAGAAGGCGATGTGGTTAAAGGAGAACGCCACATGCTCATTTAGTCCCAATAATTCGGTGGGGTTTTTATTTTATTTTCTTTACACCACAGTCATAGTTTTGTCTGCTAATTGTGCTCTTTCCAAATAGCAGCTCTGAACTTGGCAAATAAACCCCCATTAAGTTCCTGTTTTTCATTCATAAGTTTGTTTCTCCGTGTGACTGGAATCCCTGAACGGCTGAATGATGTCTATCAAAGATTTTTGTTTTTCTTTTTGGCTTTGTGATTTTTTTTTTTCTGGGCATGTTTGGTGACGAACACACTGAGGGGGTTTGCTCGAACCCACTTTGCATTGCACATTTTTGGCGATTAAAAACTTTATATTACGGCATCATAATTCAGATTGCAGATTTATTTCAAATCAGTTTGGTTTGACAATGAGGGCTTAACATTGTGTGTTGAAAGAGATTTGAAACAAACTTACTGTAACTTTCTGTTCTGATTTTAAATAACTTTATTTTAAATGAAACTCCAATGCCAGTGGACACTATTGCTGCAAGATCAATAAAGTTCTGTAACAAAGAAAATGAGCTGTTGTGTTTTTAATGGCCAATATTCTCACTCAGTAAGGAGCCTGTGTGTTTTTACCACGATCCTAGTCTCAGTAACACTGATTCATGCTGTGCCAGAGTGGAGCCCTCTTTCCACATCTGAAATGTCACATCCCAACTAGTCATTAACAAACTAAAAATAAAACCTTTTGTAAGCATTTTGTGTGTACATCCAAGCCTGGATTCCCAGTTGGGCAAAGAAGGCAACATGTCCCCCCCGAGTCCAAAAAGGGTTTCAAACCAACATCCCAGTTTCACTGCATGTTAACTGGTTTGGGTAATTTGATCGATTGCAAATTTTAAGGGAATTTAAACCACTATAGTGCAGACTTAACTGGCCAACTGCTACCTGAAAACCTTTGGGGGCCAGGGTTTATGGGTGTCTGGGGACCCCCTCCCCAAACAGGTCATGTGTATTTTGTATCTTTTCATACATGAAATGTGCTTCTTATATGTTTGTATAATATAATGATATATTATGGGTAGACCATTGACAGTATGTGTCAATGGTCTATATTATAAAACGTTGCATGACTGACGTCTAGTGGACTAGAGACGAACCGCAGGTGATGTTTTCTAATGTCATTTTCATCCACAGTAATTGGGGTTACTGTACAATAAAGTAGAATCTACACATCCAAACGGACTTTAAAGTCCGTGCCTTTCATTCATTGATCTGTTAGAGTGAACGCTGAAACAAAATGTCTTGGCGGGGAAAAGACCACATCACATTTAGCCTAAAAACGGTAATTTATATTTCTTTGTAACGAATTTTAAAATCGTTATCATGTACTGGTAATAAATCACGTTCACTGAAATAAAAATAAAACAATTTCGCCGAGTTCTTAAATTTTGTTGACGTTTTTTTTTTTACATCAGGCAAGTTAGTACGCGCCTACTAAATTTTTCTGCAGGCATTAATCCGGTCGCCTGCTGGTCCTTCCTCCTTTTCTACGTCCCTGAGTGAGGCCGGCGTCAAGATGGTGAGTCTTGTGGCAAAATTACAAGTAAAATCCGTTCAACATCGAGGCCATCCGCCCATCGGCACACATTTCATGCCCGTCAAGTGATCGTCTAAGTCTCCATTATAGTAAAATGTCAATATTGATGTAACAGGAAACTATATGAGAGGAAATTCAGCGCCACCATCCTGATGCTATCCTGTCTGTTGTCCACCCGGACGTCACACACACACACACTGTTTTGGGGCTTGTATAGTTGCTGCTGTGTTTTCACTACTATTTTATCAACCACATAATCTCCTTGAACCTGCAGTTATTTTAAAAACACTGTTGTATGTAGACGTAAATTAGCAGTCAACATGGGAACGCCACTAGCACTCAGTGGCTAACGTTAGCATGCACTACACTGATGGCCATGGCAAGGCCTTCATGTTGAGGGAACAAGCGTGTTTAAAGTCTTGTTACTTTATAAACTGTGTGAAGAAAACATGCTCCATTGAGACCATGGAAGCTGTTATGTTTCGAGGTGAGCTTGCTAGTGTTGTGACACAACTTAGTGCTACCTGGCGAGGAAACGTTGAGCTGGAGTTAAAAGCTGGAGTCTCTGCTTTTAGTGTTGAGACTTATAGTTGAAATATATATATTGTCTGGTAAACGAGCCTCGTTTTCTACCTTCTCCCGTCTGCAGAATGACACAGTGACAGTCAGGACCCGCAAGTTCATGACGAACCGATTGCTTCAGAGGAAGCAGATGGTAAGATTTTTAAACTCCTTTTTGCGACGCTCATTGTGTTGATGCCATCGTGAGGTTAAGTTTCTGTTCTACCTTCGCATATTCACTGCCTGTCTCTTCTCTTTAGGTTGTCGATGTCCTGCATCCCGGCAAGGCCACAGTCCCCAAGACTGAAATCAGGGAGAAACTCGCAAAGATGTACAAGACCACCCCTGATGTTGTGTTCGTGTTCGGCTTCACGACTCAGTTTGGTGGCGGCAAGACAACAGGCTTCGCCATGGTGTACGACTCCCTAGACTATGCTAAGAAGAATGAGCCCAAACACAGACTGGCCAGAGTGAGTTTTCAACAAAGTGTCGACATGAATGGTTTGATTCACAATGATCAATTGAGCCTTTTCTGAATGTGGTGTTTATTAGCAAAAGGTATTTTTGTCACCCATCTTACAAATTCTGCAGCAGCAAGCTGTTCTGGACCTCAAATTTAGTTTTATTATCAGAAACAATTTTTGACTTTAAGTCTAATATTGTACAGGCTCTTAACTCTCCTCAAGAGTTGTCATCTTTTGAATGTACCCTCATTGTGCATGTACTTTTATGTTAAGTAGTTTGCAGTTGGGATCAGAACAGCACTTGACAATTAAAGAGGTCGGGTGACGGGTACAATTTGATATGTGTAGCGATATGGAAAGTTGGTGGGTAATGTGGGAACATCCCATTCATTTGGAGAGAGTTTGATTAATTTTAGTTAAGTTTAGTTTTAGTTAATGTGGACATAGTTGAGTTACTAATACCAAAAACTAATCTGCAAAGGCATGCCATTCAGGGCTTGTTATATAATTAGTATTTATTTAGTATAGTTGGATTGATGAATTTGAAAGCATTATGATCATCAGTAGGTTAGTAGTATAAAATTAAACCCTTATCGATTTGTGTTCCTCAGCACGGTCTCTATGAGAAGAAGAAGACCTCAAGAAAACAGCGCAAGGAACGCAAGAACAGAATGAAGAAAGTACGAGGCATCAAGAAGGCCAGTGTGGGCGCTGCTGGCAAAAAGGTATCGTGACCGTTTCATTTACTTTATGCCAAGCAAATGGTCACTGACCACATTTGTATACTCCTCATGCCTCTGTGCACAAAGTTAAAATAAGTATTGCTGTGATAGTTTGCAATGGGGAAATAGAATGTATTTGTTTTTCCTAATCTAAGATAAGACTGCAGAAAAGTAAGGGGAAGGCATCATACAATTCAGTGCATTTGATTTTTATTTTTTTCATTGCACACCTGTTTTCCTACCCTGCTAATCGTTGTCTTTCATAACTCTTTTACTCTTTTTAATTTCTTTTGTCATCTTTCCAATTGTATCAAATGTTCTTCGGAACCTGTAGAAGGTAAATGTTCCTAGACTACAATAGACTAACTGCGGTGTGCAGATAATCCAGAAGTGATGGATACTAGTTAACTCCTCCCTTTTTACACCCTCACCTACCCATCTGAGAACCAGAGCCTTAATGCTTTTCCCTCCCAGTGTAGATGGTGCATCAAATATGAAAGGATTTGACCCACTGGTTAATACTTACTAGTCATTCCTTATCGTGATACTAATGAGTACTAGCTTGAACTGAAAACTAATAGAGTTGTAGACCCTGTTTTGGAAACCTAATGACAGTTTTAGGAGATCCTATAGTCAAAAAGTACTTAATGATCCAGTACTAATCAAGGAAATATCCTGGTGTAGTAGTTTCAGTGAAACCCTGGATTCTCCTGTAACCTCTATGGTAGCAGTCACTGGCCTAAAGTCACCTAGAATAGATCTCTGAATTACAAAGCCTAGCTGGACTATGTGTGATCCCACGTAGTTCTAGCTACAGCACAAAAGGCTTGTGAAATAATGACATGGTCCAGCCATGTCTAATTTGCTTTTCATTGGCTTGGTTCTAAATGTGGTAAATTACCTGTAGAGTACATCCATTCAGAGATCTTTTCTAGTCCTAGTTTAAATTTCCAACATGTTAACATTCTATTGTTCCATTTTTTTGTTCTTGATTTTGCTTCCCATGGATTTCTTTTGCAGAAATGAGGTGTCAGTGTGCAGGTATAGAAGCAGAAAAAGCATGGTGTGCCATTGTGTTGCACATCAAAAGCTGATAGAGCTGTGCCATGCATGTCACTCCCTACTTTCCCTTTCAGTTTCCCTTCAGTGCTCCCCCACCCCTTCCATGTTTTTTTTGGTTTTTTTTAAATCCCTGCTTCTAGGTTTTCCCTCTACCTGAGTCCTTTGTACCGCTGTCTCTGCTAAAATGGGCATATCCATTAGGCTTTGCCCTCTATGGTGTACATTTATACAGACATACTTACTTTAACGCTTCAGATCTGTAGTTAATAGAAGCAGACCTTGGGTGTAGCATGTGGGTCTTAGTTTGTTTTTAGTATGAGTGTGGGGCTGCTGAGGTAAAAACCTGCCAATGTGTGAATTTCTTATTTGAATGTGTTCTTTTCTTGAACTCAGGTAATAACTTTGTTTATTTTTACAAAGCATCAAACTACAAGATTGTTGTCTCACCTAAAGATACTATTAACATTTGTCTCAACATGCGCTGTTTGTCTTGATATTACTTACATTATCAAGAAAGTTTGTTGCTGTAGACATTAGATTGATCCTGTATTAATTTTGCTGTTCTTGTCTCTACAGTGAGCCCGGACAACCAGGGAGGGTCTACGTGCTCAAGATGTTCTTGTATATTGTCATCAAATAAAATTTGGAAAAAATTTGAAAAAAAAAAACTTGGGTATATATTCATTTTGTGCTCATGTTTTTGGAAGCATTACTGTAAATCAAGTCGGAAAAGTCTGTTTTCCTGTTTGTGTTTACACCAGCCCGTTGGCAGCCAGGATTCAGTACTCAAGGTGACTGAAGTTTCTGTAGGCTGCTGAATGATGGCCATCCACAGGCAGCTTACGTGGCTTTAGCTATATTGCCTTTCTAAGTAATCTCAGGATGGTTTCCAGTACAAAGTGCAAGTAATTTGGTTTCTATTCAAATTTCGCCCACATGAACTTTGTTGATAGTGACATCCAGTGGTTTTGCAATGACATTACTCAAAGCTGCCAAATAATTGATCTTGTCAGCCATTTGCTGACCTACTGTTTTAGCTAGGTTTGGTAATATCAATTTTAATTAGACATTTAGTTTAGAGAAATATTGAATTTGAAAGTCTTCTTTGAAACATGCTGACCACTTTCAAACACTTTGTTTTGTTTTTCATAATTTAAGTGTATATA